ATACACACACCATATTACCTTTTTGAAGTTTTTTGGTCACTTCTTATTGAGCATCCAACATCAGCATATTAGAATACTCATGCTCATGATCTGATTCATAACCTAGTTCTCTTATTACTTGTCCCATGTATACACTGAGGCCTAGGTTTCAGTCCAATAGATTCATAAAACTCTATAGTTTCTTACAGTGTGTCTTTGTTTATTGAGAAGCAAAGGGCTAGGAATGTAGTTTAGTGGTGGAGCCCTCTGATAATTGTGTTTTATAATTTAAAAGAAACCCAGTTTTCAATAAAGTAGAAGTCTCTCTAAAAAGCCATAATTAAAAAAAAAAAAGTTCCATTCATGTAATTGCTACTTCACCTGTTTACAACTGATTGCCCTAAATGTGCTAAACTTAGAGAAACAATGGTAATCCAGCTGATTATCAAACTCTTACCATCTCATTTTATAGCCATAAGCTTGAAAGTCAACAGTTCAAGACCTAAAAACAATGTTTCTATTTTTCTTTGTAAAGCTCTTTCACCATGCCTGGGTCACTTCCTTTGAATACAGAAGCTTGCTGGCCAAAAGATGTGGGAATTGTTGCCCTTGAGATCTATTTTCCTTCTCAATATGTTGATCAAGCCGAGTTGGAAAAATATGATGGTGTAGATGCCGGAAAGTATACCATTGGCTTGGGCCAGGCCAGGATGGGCTTCTGCACAGATCGAGAAGACATCAATTCTCTTTGCCTGACTGTGGTTCAGAATCTGATGGAGAGAAATAGCCTTTCCTATGATTGCATTGGGCGGCTAGAAGTTGGAACAGAGACAATCATCGACAAGTCCAAATCAGTGAAGTCTAATTTGATGCAGCTGTTTGAGGAGTCTGGCAACACAGATATAGAAGGAATAGATACAACTAATGCTTGCTATGGAGGCACAGCTGCTGTCTTCAACGCTGTGAACTGGATTGAGTCCAGCTCTTGGGATGGTATGTAATATGTCTGTATTCCAAAGAACCAAAACCAGAACAATCCTTGAAGATTTATAGACCCAGTGGCTCTCTTTTTTTGCAAGATGTGGGGCATTGAACCCAGGATCTCATGCTAGAGAAGGGCTTTACTAATGAGCACTATTCCAGCCACTCTGAGCACTTTTTAATTAATGCTGTGTGCATAGTTACCTAGTTACACTGTTCACATACATCCAGAAAGATGACTATGACTTTGAGCTTGTATGAATTATTGTGTGTAAAAAAAAAAAGGATCTGTTTAAAATTTCGCCAGAATGTTTGTTTTTCATTTTCTTTACCAATGGGGGAAAACATGTTCTGGGGAAAATGTAACAGACTTGAATTTGTATGCATGATATTAATGATATTGATCATCTTGAAAAATAACTTTTTCAGGACGGTATGCACTGGTAGTTGCGGGAGATATTGCTATATATGCCACAGGAAATGCCAGACCTACAGGTGGAGTTGGAGCTGTGGCTCTGTTAATTGGGCCAAATGCTCCTTTAATTTTTGACCGAGGTGAGTATTTGAGAAAGCATTTTTTTTTTTAAATTGTATGCTAGGGATTGAACTTAGGGCCTCATGCATACTAGACATCACTCTACCCCGGAGTTACATCTCCAAACCCTTTATTTCCTTTTTAATTTGAGGCAGGGTGTCACCAAGGTACACAGGCTGGCCTTGCTCTCTCTTGGTAGCCCAGGCAGTCCTTGAATTGGTCCTTGAATTGTGATCCTCTTGTCCCAGCCTCCTATACCCTTGGAGTTACAGGTCTGTGATCCCAGGCCCAGAATATTTACTTACATTTGTTTAACTATTTTATTAACATTCTGAGATATTTGAATGTAGAAGTAGAAGCTAGCACTTGCCTAGTGTTCATTAGGTGCGCATTCTACCTACTAAGTGCTTTATGTGTATTGCCTTATCTGATATTTATCATAGAGTTTGGGGAGGAGGTGCTGTTATCCTCACTTTACAAAGGAGTAAAATGGGTTGAAGTAGAGTTGAAGTAATACCTTACAGTAGTAACTTGTCCCATGCCCCAACAAGTTTCATTTCTCCTCAGCAACTACTATCTCCTGGTTACATTTCTTTATGAAACTTGCATAAGAGGTTATTTACCAAAGGAGCCTTAGATCTGCATCGTTAGGCTTCATTTAAATTCCATTGGCTTCACCTTACACTTCTATATTGATTAGTCAAGGGAAGCCCTTAGTGCAGCATGTTGCTAAAATGTAAACATCAGAAGCAGAAATCTATTAAGGTCTTCTATTTGGGTTCTGAAAGGGCTTCGTGGAACACATATGCAGCATGCCTACGACTTTTACAAGCCTGATATGCTCTCCGAATACCCTATAGTAGATGGAAAACTCTCCATACAGTGCTACCTCAGTGCATTAGACCGCTGCTATTCTGTCTATCGCAAAAAGATCCGTGCTCAGTGGCAGAAAGGTAGGTTTTCATCTCTCACCCATTTTCCTATATTAGAGTTTGGTATCTAGAAGGGAGTACAATTAATGTGCTGGATGTCTTCAGCATGAAATGTCTTTGTGAATAATTTTCATTAATATCTTTTTACCGTCTCCTCCTTATCTGCTAAATGACATTTTTAACAGTTTCTGGGAATGTATAATTTCAGTAATGACATGAGCTTTGGAAATTTGATATCTTGTCAAAAAAACACATGTATTGATTTACCTTTGCAAAGAAATTTGAATCTTGTTACTTTTTTGAGAGAGTATCTTAACAAGGTGTAGTTTTCAACTATGATTCAGAAGAAATAAGGACAATGAATTTCTGAAATGATCCCTTCTCCCCCAATGATCTGTTGACCCTTAATCTCTGAATTTGTATTTGCTTTCTTAGTGTTATTTTTTTAACTTATTTTTTGTTTTTATTTTGTGTACGAGTGTATTGCCTGCATGTGTGTAAGTGCACCTGTGTTGTGCAGTGCCAGTGGAGATCAGAAGAAGGTGTCAGATTTCCCCTGGAACTGGTGCTATGGATGGTTATTAGCCACCATATTGGTGCCTGGAATTGAACCCAGGTCCTCTGCAAGAACAATCAGTGCTCTTAACCTCTGAGCCATCTCTCCAGCCCCTTTCTTAGTGTTATTAATCTCAGTGTTTAACTCTGAAAAAAGTTCTTACTGTATTATATTTTAGAAAAGAGCAATATTTTAACTATTACTATTATCACACATAGAATTACAGAAAGTACATCTTCCTTATTACAACTTTGCTTTCTAAAGATGAGAGGGTTAAAAATAATATTAATAAATATTAAGAAATGTAGAAGCTATGAACAGAAGCATTCTGGTGGTATATAACATGTACCATTTCATAGTTACATATTTATCAGTACCATGCTATTTATACTGTACTTAACAGTATATTATAAATGATATATTTAACAGTAGTGTTTCTTGAGACAGTGTCTCATTTTGTAACCTAGGCTGGCCTCAAACTCATGATTCTCTTGCCTTGGCCTACCAAGCACTAGGATTGCAGGTGTGCTCCACTATATCCAGCTTAGCAGTATGTTTTGAGAGGCCAGTGATGTTCTGACTTTTTTATTAGGACCCACAGAAGGTACACTCTACATTGTATATATGCTAAACAGAAGCAGAAGTGCCATGAAACGACCTACTCTGCAAATTATGCAGTTTGCAATTTTTTTCCCTTTACCTCCCCACTTTTAAAAAATACTGATCCTGGGGGCTGGAGAGATGGCTCAGAGGTTCCAGAGGATCCAGCAACCTCTTCTGTCCTCCGCAGGCATTGCACGACATGGGTGCACTTACATACATTCAGGCAAAACATGCACACACATAAAAAAATAATAAAATATTAAAAAAAAATACTGATCCTGACCCAACTGAATTGGTTACATTAAAAAAAAAATTGTCAAATTATGACTTTTAATTTGAAAGTCAATAGTGTGGTCATATGTACTGTTCCATGGTTGAATGTCTTATTTTAATACACATTTTTAACCTATAGAGAGATTTTATTATACAGGATAAACTCATTTTCATTCTTTTTTTTTTTTTTTTTTTGAGACAGGGTCTTCCTTTAGCTCCAGCTGTCCTGGAACTCACTATGTAGACCAGGCTGGCCTTGGTTCTGCCTGCCTCTGCCTCCCAAGTGCTGGGATTAAAGGCGTGCGCCACCACACCCATCTCTTTTTTTTAAAGATATATATATTTTTTATTTTTGAGAATTCCATACATAAGTATTGTATTTGCATTATTTCTCCAACTACTTCCATGTCTCCCCATCCCTTCTCAATTTCTTGTCCTCTTCATTGTTACATATACATACATTTATAAATATATGTATGTATGTGTACATATATATATAAATAATATGCATTGAGTCCATTTATTGGTGCTTGTGTGTACCTGTGTTTAGGGCTGCTCACTCAGGATTATATAGCCTCTCAGAGTGCTAGTCCTTGGAGAAAATTGATTTTCCCTCCCTCAGCATCCATTGATTTCCTGTAGGTCTTCATTTTGAAGTGGGACCAATGAAATTTCTCCTACCTACCTTGGCATGTCAACTGGTTTTGTTAGACTTCCATACTGTGGAGATTTCATTGGTGTAGTTTCCCTGTCACGTCTAGAATGCAGTAAATAAAGTTATAGAAACATCCTTGTCATTCTTAAATTGTAAAAATTCCATGACTTGTGAATTTCATAGTTTCTTTGGTCTTCTGTTTCAGAGGGAAATGATAAAGATTTTACCCTGAATGATTTTGGCTTCATGATCTTTCACTCACCATACTGTAAACTGGTTCAGAAATCTCTAGCTCGGATGTTCCTGAATGACTTTCTTAATGATCAGAACAGAGACAAAAATAGTATCTACAGTGGCCTGGAAGCCTTTGGGTAAGGGGAACTATTAAAAACTTTAATATATGTATTGCAAGCATATTTAGACCTAAAAAATGTAGCCACAAAGATGATAGAAGTAGTCTAATCTAGTCGTCTTATTAGTGAAGAAACTCACTCCATCAGAGCTGGTAGCTGGCTTACCTACACATTCATTAGTCATTTCTGCTTGAGATGTTCCAATACCACAGACACACCTGTGTTACTACAGCCCCGCTCAACTCTTCTCCCTTTTTCTCTGTAGTCTCTGTCCTCTGCACTCTGATAGTAATGAAGTCTAGTTCATCCTTTTCTCAGTTTTTAGACCTCTAGCATGCTGTGCATGTTCATTTCATCCTGGTTCTCCCTACCAATGCCTCATCTCCATTTGATGAACTTCTACTCAACTTTTCAAGGCTTACTTCCTATAATATCATGACTTTGTAAACTAAGAAGACATGACTATGAACTTGACGACGACTTACCATATTGTGTTTAATGGTGATAAAGCTTTAGTGATTCTATTACCCTGTCAGTATCAAGTTAACCTTTCCTTGATTATAACATCTTGAGGCAAAGAATGGTATAACTGTTAGCATCATCTATGACAAAATCTTACATACTCAAAGATTTGAGTATTACTTAGGACAACTAATCATAAAATGAAAACGTTTAAATACTATAAAATTGTCACTATAAATTCTTTCAGGGATGTTAAATTAGAAGATACTTACTTTGACAGAGATGTGGAAAAGGCATTTATGAAGGCTAGTTCTGAACTATTTAACCAGAAAACAAAGGCATCTTTGCTTGTATCAAATCAAAATGGAAATATGTATACATCTTCTGTGTATGGTTCCCTTGCTTCTGTTTTAGCACAGTAAGTATAAATTTCAGTTACTTAACTCCACTTTCCTGGTGCTAGATTTCTAAGACCAAATCCAGCATCACAGGCATGTTGATAGCTCACAATGACACTGTCTTCAGGCTCTCTTACCTGCTAATTTAAAGGATATTTCGGCTAAGGCTACAGTTCTTCTTCAAGTGTCTGTTAATATTACACAGGCTTTCCTAGCTATTATTTTTGTGGTTTTATTATTCTTGACTTACAATTGAACCACAAGTCTCTTTCTGACTTATTTTGTGCTTTAATAATTTTCACAAATTTCACCATTTCCAAAAAGTTGTAAACATTTTATTCTGTACATTATAATACTAAAACTTCAAGTTAGATTCTTACTACAGTATTAAAACTTTAAATTTTTAATTTATTATTTTATGTGTATGAGTATTTTGCCTGCATATATGTAAGTGCACCATGTGTATATAATGCCAGTGGTGGCCAGAGGATGGTATAGGATCCCCTGGAACTGGAGTTACAGATGTTTGTTAGTCGTTATGTGAGTGCTGGGAACCAAACCCTGGGTCCTCTGCAAGAGCAGCCAGTGCTCTTAACCTCTGAGCCATCTCTCCAGTGCCCAGTATTAAAACTGATTTAAGACAGATCTTTAAGAACTTTGAGTTAATCTAGGCAGGGTGATATACAGCTGTAATCCCAACATTTGGGAGGCTGAGACAGGAAGATTTGCTACTGAAAGTCCAGCCTGAGTTGTGTAGCCAGACCCTGCCTCAAAAAGCAAATCAATAACAACAACAACAAAATGCTTTCAAGTTAGAGCCCATGGTAACCTATAGGCCCTTTATATGGCTTCCCACACATCGTAGTAGGTATCTGTTAAGCTTGACCAATTTTCCTTCTCACAGGTATTCACCCCAGCAGTTGGCAGGGAAGAGGATTGGTGTATTCTCTTATGGTTCTGGTTTGGCTGCCACTCTGTACTCCCTTAAAGTTACACAAGATGCCACACCAGGTAAGTGCTGATTCTGGTAAGTGTGGACTCTCTCTGGCAGGGTTGGTTCAGCTGCTCAGATGATCTCATCTGCTTCATAGATCATTGCAGTGTTTTCAACTTCATTACTTCTTTTGTTGTAGATTTTTCCTCTCTGTCCTACAGATGTGCCTTGATGGATAAAGGGTGGACTAACTTTGTTTATTTATTTATTTGTTTATTTATTTTTTTGTTTGTTTTTGGCTTATAGTTTTGACTGTATTGAAGTTAACCTTCCCTAAGAAGGAACAAAAATATTGAGGAAAAAATTATAAAGTATAAGAAACTATACCATAGACAGGCTACAGAAAAGTTATTTACAGCTTTAAATTCCACCCTATTTCCTAACTTTTCTGCTAGCTGATGCCAAATAAATGTTTGGTCAGAGGTCACAGGAAGCTGTGTCGAGAAGATACTATTTTACCTTTTAGCTAAACAATGGCCAGTAGTTCTAAAGAGACAAAAAGTGATTTTTTACTTGGCAACATTGTATTAAGCTTCTTTTAATGCATTCTATTTTTAGTCCTTTATTATTTATTTATTTATTTTATTCCTTTATTTACTATTTTAGGGTCTGCTCTTGACAAAATAACAGCAAGTTTATGTGACCTTAAATCAAGGCTTGACTCGAGAACTTGTGTAGCACCTGATGTCTTTGCTGAAAACATGAAGCTCAGAGAAGACACTCATCACTTAGGTAAAGCACTAAATTGTTTGAATAAAAACCCCTGTTGGAGGGCTAAAATAATGCTAAACATAAAATGTGTAAGATAAAGATGTTAAGGCTTTGTTTAGTACTAACCTGGTGTCAGGGAAAGTTGTAGAGAGAGGAATAATCTTTGTTTCATATTATTGCCAGATTGGTCATTTATCATGAATAATTTTGATATCCTCTGCTTTCTCTTTAGCCAACTATATTCCTCAGTGTTCAATAGATTCACTCTTCGAAGGAACATGGTACCTGGTTAGAGTAGATGAAAAGCATAGAAGAACTTATGCCCGGCGTCCCTCTCCCAGCGATCATACTTTAGATGAAGGAGTAGGACTTGTACATTCAAACACAGCAACAGAGGTAAATAAGTCTCATTACATTGGTCTTGTTATTTGACAGGGTATATGAAGTTTCCACTCCCATATCTCAGGGTTTAGGATCCCTAGCTATGATGAAGGAGCTTAAAGGAATGTGAAGCAGAGCAAGGGCTCTAGGGGTTCAGAGTCCAGCTCTGTCATTTCAAGTTGTATAGGGTACATGTTAAATACTGAATTTTATTAAATTCTAGAACTTAAAGGAAGACTGGTATCTAAGAGAAGGCTCATTTGAGTCTTGTGGTTCGTTTGGTGAGCAGGATAGAGGAGGGTGTTGAGCCCCTCAAATCTCTCTCAGACCTTGTCAGAAATAACAATAACAGCTGTGACTTGAATTCCTATTACATGCTAGGCAGTTTACTGAAATTGTCTTATTTAATCCTTACAACAACCTTTTTGAGGCTTATAGACAGTACTAACTCCAAGATGAGGCCTCAAGAAGTATAGTTATTTACACAGGCTCTTAGCTAGTAATTAGTAAACCTGGTTTTAAACCAAGAACTTCAACCTTGAAGTTCTTAATTTTTTTCTGCTTATAGCTGCTTTTATAAGTGCATAATTTTACTTCTTGCTGTTATACCAATTACCAACCAGGTCGCAAGTCGAGGTAGTATTTGTAAATATAAGATGTTGTAACAAGTAAAGTCCTAAGAGGTTCTTCTCTCTCTCCCCCATCCCTTAACAAATGGATAATTGTATAGACAATTCACTGTAAAGTTAAGATTAAATATTTGGTTCTCTCCCTGGAAAACTGCATAAAATATGTGTGAGCATCAACCTCTTTAAAACTGTCCCTTATTAGTTTCTCTATAGAAATTTTAACTAGTCCCATGACTTGTAAAGAAGATGCACTTGTAAGATCCACCAATTCTTTTCCTTTTAGCATATTCCGAGCCCGGCTAAGAAAGTGCCAAGACTCCCTGCAACACCAGCAGAATCTGAAGCAGCTGTCATTAGTAATGGGGAACATTAAGCTACTCTGTGAGGTGTAAGACTTCAACATGGTTTGGGGTTGGGGTGGGGGTATGGGAACAGTTGGAGGAATGGGCTGTCTGGGGACAATTTTTAAAAATTACATGTTGCTTAAAATTTAAAGTGACTGACATGGAGCCTAGAAAACTATTGTGTTCTTGGAAAAGTCTCTTTGCTCAACTTGCTAACACACTTCCTGTTATGGTCTGGTCAATGCTAAATGTACTCAAATGATGTTAAGGGCTCTGTAAAGCTTTATACCTCCTCTCTGGCCACTTACATGCATGCAGTTTAGTTTTCAAACATGGTATGAATTGACTGCTTCTGTCGGAAAGTAAGCAGAGGTACTAGTCTCCAATTGAAAAGGTTGGTTTATTTTTATTTGTTTTTACACATAAGAGTTTTATACTTTGAACAAATAAAAAGTACCTGTGGCTTTGGAAAAACTTTTCTAGGTTGGGGAATGTGGGTTTTAAATGTGGCGCACACAAACCCTCTTTGAAAATGGCAAGACAAACGTTTCTTTTTTCCTTTCTAAGATTCATAAATTCTAAAGAGACAGAAAAGATGATAGTGGCATTGGTTTTGGGATCCAGGTGAGCTCTTGCTTTGAATCTCAGCCAGCAGTGAGAACAGTTAGTTAATCACCTCTGAACAGAGAGATGCTAGCATTGAACAGGCTTCTGTTACAGAAAACAGGGTTCATCAGGAAACTGTGGACATGGCTCTAGGGGTTGAGATTCTGGACAGTTCACAGTGGACGGTGCTCTACAGCACTGAGTCACCACTGCAACTGGTATGAGGGATCATGTTGCAGTCCTTACATTTGTTGGGCTTCCTTTTTGAAATTTAAAATAGGAAGGACAGGACAGGGCATTATGAGGTTACTTGTGCTTCAGTGTTACAAATCCAGTTTATAGACTGACAACATAAATTCATGGGATAAGAGGTCTTTGTGTATATTTGTGTTTTGTATTTTGTATCTATTCAATGAAAATAAGAAAATATAACCCAAGTTTTCACATAGTCTGAGCAGCCAAAAGGAACATTCGCTTCATGATCTGAAAGTAGAATTTATAACATTTTTCTTAAACTTTCACCTTAAAAACAATAACTATTAAATGAGATGAATAAGAAAATTGATTAGAAAGTTTTATAGGTGTTTTTGGTGCTGAACTATGACATGAGCCTTATAGACTGTAAAATAGAGATAGTTGGAACTAATGTACAGAACTAAATTTTTTAAACTTTATTTGCTGTTGAATTCTGTGAAGTTTCAGTTATCTAAAATAAACACACAAATATTGTAATGATTTAGATTGCAAGGTAATATGTAATGTAGCGTTTTGTAAAATATTCTTGTCAAATATTAACTAGTAGTATTTTTGATTTGTACAGTTATAATTTGTTAAAATGATTTCATTTTAACATCCACTGATGTAGATTAATAATGTAAGTTCCAATTTAAAGAACGGTGGGGAAATGGTGCATGTAATACTTTTGCAAGTATTGAGAGTTCTGTATGTTTTGCAAAGAGTAATTTAATGTTTGGGTGCCAAGAAGTGGGTTTTCTCAAAGCCTGGTGACACTGGCACAGAGCATTAACCATACACCTTATTAATGGTGAGGTGAATAACTTTGAATAAAGTTTTAAACAAGTATTTCAGACATTTGAGCATTCTTTTCTAATATTTTATTTATTTTATTTTATGCGTATGCGTGTATTGCCTGCATATAGGTAAGTGAACCTGTGTCATGAAATGCCTGCGGAGGACAGAAGAGGCTCTCGGTTCCCCTGGAACTAGAGTTAGGACAGTTGTTAGCTACCATGTGGGTGCTGGGATTTGAACCTGGGTCTTCTGCAAGAACAACCAGTGTTCTTAGCCGCTGAACCATCTCTCCACACTCTGAGTGTTCTTTTCCTTTCTGAGCTAATCATTCAGGCATGAAGTCATCAGTTCTTCACCCCTTACTTCTGGAAACGTTGGGAAGCTTCACATAAGCAAGGCCCTCTGCCTTTGCTGCAAATAAAATGTATCTAGTATGTGGTCTTTTCTTAAAGGGGCTATTTATCTAGTATGAAAGATGAATATTATCATCAGTATTCGTTGTATTGAAAATCAAACTCAGTCTTCAGGATGTTAGTCAAGCACTGTACCCCTGAGCTATGTCTCACTGGAAGGATTTATACTGATAATTAATTCTTAGATTGTGTAGAAAGAAGTATATCCCCCGAGCAGGATGATATATGTATTATGTGTAAACTTCTTCTATAAACATTAGGCTGAGTTACTGTTCTTTTAAAAAGAAGAAAACCAAGACATTAGTTTTCCAATTATGGAAAAGGGTTTTGTGGCCAGTATAGAACTTGCTTTTACACTAAGAACTGCCAGCCTAAAAGCCCCATGTTACTGGTGATCCTAGTTTTTTTGTAGAGGAGTCTTGCACTGGCAGTAGTGTTGGAATAGATAACTCGAGTTTTGTCACCCCTTTTAAGATTCTATAAATTGGGAAACATCAGATTATTTTCTAGTATGGGTCATTCATGTTAATTTTGTGTCTGGATTCAATATGTATTAATTGTTTCATTTTCTGGGCCAGTATCCTAGACCTCTGATCAGGTAAAATAAAAATAAATCTTTAGAAAAGGATTTTTTTTTAATGTGTATCAGTATAAAGTGTGCATTTATGTAAGTGCACCCATGTCATGCAGTTCCCACTGAGGTCAGACGAGTGCATTGGATTCCCTTGGACCTGGAGTTACGGACAGTTGTTAGCCACCATATGGATGCTGGGAATCGAACCTAGGACCTCTGCAAAAGCAGCTGAGACATCTCTCCAGTCCCTTTAAAAAAGGATTTTTAAAAATTATGTTTTTAAAAATTTTTATTGAATTCTTGTAATTTTGATATACAATATAGTTTGGTGATATTTAGATCCCCTTCCCTGCCTGTACCTCTTTCCACTGTCCCCTCTATACATATTATACATACATATATGCATACATATATACATATACATGTCTCTCTCTCTCTCTCTCTCTCTCTCTATATATATATATATATATACATATATATATATATATATATATATTATATGGTCTATAGAGTCTGATTTGTGTCCCCAAATGTCCTTCAGTGTGGGTCCATCCACTGGGCCTACCAAGAGTCCCATCCAGTAAGACACTGTCTCCCCCTCCCAACATCCATCAATTGTCAAAAGATCCATGTAGCCAAAGCTGGCCTTTAATTCCTGATTCCCCTGCCCCAACTGAAAAGTGTTGGGATTACAGGCATGTGCTACCATCCCCAGCAGAAATTATTTGATTTTAACATAAAAGTGAACCCTTCATGTTTTTAAAGAACTCTCAAGTCCCAGGTTCCTCTATTTTTATTTTATGTGCATGAGTGTTTTGCCTGCATGTATGTAAGTGTACTATGTGCATGCAATGCCCTTGGAGGCCAGAAGATGGCAGTGAGTTGCCTGGAATTGGAGTTACAGGAGGTTGATAGCTACCATGGTGCTGAGAATTGAATCCAGATCCTCTGGAAGAGCAGCCAGTAAGCCATCGCTCCAGCCCCCCCCCCACCTTTTATTCCTTAATTAGTAGTAGGAAAAGGTAGCTGACCTGATATTTTTCTCCAATGTCATTTCTATTATGGCAGTAATTTGATGCTGAAGATTATAAATACAAGTCACTAGATTTATAGGGTGCAGTTTGCTTTTTTAAAAGTGATTCGTGGATTGCTGTATTAGGATTAAGTACTTTTCCCCCTGTGTGTCAAATTTATTATTGAGGCTTGCAGAATCCTGTGGTATCTTGTCCCCACACACTTCATACTCACCAGTTCTTATTCAAACTGTAACAGACACCTTGAGCTCCCTGCCCCCATGAGAAGAGGCTAGCCACCCCTCTACCCCCTCCCCCCAGATGAAAGGATTGGTGCACCTAGAACACCTATGTGATGTTGGCATCAGGGTTGTGGAAACACAGCATATAGGGTCAACATTCACTACTGAGACTTGTCATCTACGTGTAGGTGTGGGAAGAAGGCCAAGCATTGGGTCTCTGGTACTTGAATAAGATGGGGGCCCTGAGATAAGAACTGCATTTGGCCAGCTTTTATTGCCTACTTAGGAAACCTAGAAAACAACAAAATGATAGGCCCAAGTCAGTCAACTATCAAAGGCACACAGAAAGCCAGAGAGCCTTTAAGGGATCCCAATCTGCTACAGAAGGAGACTACAACAGGCCCTAGATTTCATTTTAAGGTTAGGGAATGCTGGGTCACCAGCATTCTCCTTTATGAAAATTGGGGCTTGATGGGTCAGGAATTAAGAGGGACCTGGAGACCCAAGTTAGCCCAGTGAGCAAGTCTGGAAGGTTGCAAAACAGGTTATCTCCCACAGACTGGCAGGATCAACTCCTTGTCCAGAGACTCTACCAAGGCTTCAAAGGCAGATGTCTACGTGACACTTGCCTCCTCCAGATCCTCTCCTCATACTCTCATTGTTCTCCAAACCAAGACCACGGTGAAGTTTCATCAAAGCACAAGTGGAGAAATGCAGCCCCATCTGTGTAGAAATAGAATAGACGCTAAAGGAAGTACAGGAGCTGCGTAATACACACTGTCAAATCAGGCAAGTGGGCAAGTGGGTTTTGACAGGTGAGTCAGAAGTGGAGGTGGAGGGAAGAGTATAAGGCAGGTTATAGGCCTTCATCATAGGAACACTTACCTATGACTTGGAGAGAGGGACACCCAAGTTGGGCTTAGTATTCTAAGTGGCTATGGAAGTTTGGACTGTGACAAGCAGTAAATGAGGAAGCAATGGTGGAACTGCCTTGGCACGGTATTGTAATACCAAGAAACTCTAGGAAATGTGGATGTTTGCACTCATTATGTGAGACCGAACAACCACTTGTACTCCTTAAAAGGATAGTGCCTTCACTAAGGTCATACAAATGTGCCTCAACACTGGAAGCAACCCGTGCAACTAGAACATGGAGCATTTATGAAAATTAGGGCTTCATAAGGCATCGGAAGTACTACCTTCAGGGATGCTGTGCTGTTCTCCAGGAGTCAGCATGCGTGCTTTAACAACTGCTTTCATATGTCCTCTAGTGTTTAAATTCACTGGTATGGGAACCAGTGGTTGGAAGTAGGATAGACCCATTTCACCATCACAATCAGTAACTCACTTGAGGGTTTTATATTCTTTCCAACAACCTAGGTTTAACTAGATGAATATTTGGGGTTCCCAAAAGGCAAGGGGATGCTTTCACTGGGGCCCCCAATAAAGGCTCTTGTGATTTGGAAACTGTGACTATCATTATTTGGGCTGCCCATGCCGGTGGACAAGCAGGCAAAGAAGGAAGTATTATAAAGGTTATTAACCTGAAGTATCATAAGGAGCTGAAGAAGAATATGTCGGGAACCCAAAAGATAAACACTGCTGTGTCACTTTGGGGCCTCGTGAAGGTAGTGAGCAGGCAATAACAGCAAGTCCAGCCTAAGAAGGATAAGGAAGCTAAGGTCTCTGATCCTTTCATAATGATGGTTTTTAAGAAGCTACCCATCTAGACCAGCTGAAATGCTGGCCAAAGTTGAAGGAAATCTAGGATGGGCAATGAAAGAGGAAGGTAGCAGTTCAGGTATAGCCTCAGGACCAGCTGTAGTAATGACTAGCTCAGAGAACCTCAAAGCCTGGCTCTAACTAACAGCATCACCTGGAAACTTCTCAGAAACATGCAAGCTCTTGCCAACCCCAGTCAGGTAAACAGCGCTCCAGGTAATCCTGATGGCTAGTGCTTGAGGACCATTATTATAGCTCCTATAACCTGCTGTGCTGAATCCTTCCAGGTATCATCCCTTTCAAAGACTATTCAGAGTGATCTGAGTGAAGTGGGCTGTGTTGGACAGCTTCTGTCTGCCACTTCAGGTCCTTCCTGTCACATTGCTTCCTCCAGCCACTGATGCAGTGACCATGCCATGCAAGTTTTGATCAGCTCATGCAGGTCTTGTTTGCAGTACACTGTCTTAGGCCAATGCTGTAACCTCTTGCTCCAAAGCTTCTTTGATACAAAGGCCTATGAAGCATAGGGAACCTACACTCAGCATAATCTGGAAATGCAGGGCAGATGACACCACTGGCTACCCTTGTCCAATGGTGAACAGGCACTGATAAATCCTTCCCCTTTCACATCTTGGGCAGACCCTTGAGATGTGATGAATAAAACTCTTCCAAGGATCCTACAGGACTAAATGCCAACCAGACTAAATACCACTGGCCAACTTGGTAATGTGTCTTTGTATTGGCTGTCATTGTTTCCTCTGTCCTTCACCCCTGTGCTGTGGGATCATTTCTCAATTAAACTACATGAAAGCCCTTGTCTTAGGCTGGGTTTGGAGGACTCTAGTTTCTAGCCCTAGCTGTTGGGCATGCTCTCTGAATTTTCCAAGTCACCTTGCTATTCCTTTGGGTCTCACACTGTGGCCCTCCTTAAAGATATAATCCAAAGTGACAAGCTTCTAGCATCAGATAGCCTTATTTGGAGTCTACAAAGCAACTACCACTATTTGATATTAATATATATATATATATATATATATTTGTTAGTGAGTGTCTGTGTCCTATACTAAAGTAGTCTACACAGGAGAGAAGTGCCTGGCCTGTCTTACACTTCACTGTTTCCTCAGCACCTTAAACAGTGCCTGGCACATAGCTCTGAATAAATATTTCTTTTTTGTGGGTTTTGTTGTTGTTGCTCTTGTCTTTCTGAGACAGGGTCTTCTTGTAACCACAGCTGGCCCAGAACTCGAATGTAGACCTGGATTGCTTTGATCTTGCAGAGATCCACCGGCCTCTGTCTCCCGAGTGCTGGGATTAAAGGCGTGTACCACCACACCTGATTTGAATAAATATTTCCTGATTAAATAAATGAATGCTGGAGTTTGACTAGAAGGCAAAAATCCCAGATCAAGCCAAAATTGAGGCTAATAGACTTTTGAGGGAAAAATGCATATCTCAAATTTAAATTTATTTAAAAATTACAAAATGTCTCCATCCAAGTTTTCCACAAGAAAAGTTAAAAGCAGCAACTTTGATCGTGGTTAGTTACCAGCAGTCTGATGTAATTTATAAAATTGAACAAAATTTGGATGTGTGTCTTATGCCTCTGTAGACACGAGACCCTTTCTTTAGGTCCCTTTCTTTGGGGTCTGGTAGTATCACTATGGGCACACTTTCTGAAGCCTTTTTCCTTTGTACTCGGTGTAAAATGATTCTATAGACCCCAGTGATTGAGCTTCGAGCATCTCTCCCTTGGTTATTGCGAATATGCTCTTCTGTAATACCCAAATGTTCTAAAGTGCTTTTCACCTCATTTTCTTCTTCTTTGAGAGTGCTGGTTTCTGACAAGTGTTTAGGATCCAGTTGGAAAGGTTCCAGAGGGGTGGGGTATGGCACCCCTCGCATCCACTCATTATTCATGATGTAGTTGATCCCATACCTCTCTGTGGGCACAGGCTGAAGAACTCCTCGGATGAGCCTGTGGCAGGGCTCTGACACATGTGGGGGTATGGTGTAGGTGCCTTCAAGGATGCTTCTCTTCAATTTGGCCACAGTCTCTGCCCGAAATGGCATCGTACCAGTCACCATGAAATACAAAAGCACCCCCAAGGCCCATATATCCACATAAACACCGATGTAGTGTTCATCTCGGAAAAGTTCAGGTGCTGCGTAGGGAGGAGACCCACAGAAGGTGTTCAGCATTTCGCCTTTTTTACTTACAGTGCTGAATCCAAAATCACCCACCTTCACACAAGTGCTACTAGTATAGAATACATTTTCTGCTTTCAGATCTCTGTGAATAATTTGGTTTTCATGCTGTGAAGAAGACACAGGGGGAAAAGTCAATTTTGAAGTAAAATGCGAAAATAAAAAAAGTTGAAAAATTATTTGTTCAAAATTTCCAGCTATACGAAAAATGAAAACAAAAGTATCCATTGCTCTGCGAAAGGTGTGGGTGGTGATGAAGCAATTATAGAAATTCAGGGGAAATCAACTTAAATCATGTTAGCAAATTCTGCCGTAACCTTGAGAGTCGTGTAATGCCTATACACTTCCAAATAGGCCAAAGTTTTGAGTACTCTCAGGGGTGAGGACTGGAGTCTATTCCACACACAAACTCAGGAATTAGTGCCAGAAATAAGACCTAGATCTTATGCAACTGCATATTCAGAAATGCAATCAAATTATATGCTTTGGTTTTTGAGGTCTTACGTGGTTTTCCTGAGTCATCTCTTTTGGGACCGAGAGCAGGAAGTCTTGAGGCCTGCTCCAATCTCCTAGCCATGCTCCGTGGGGTGGACTCTTACTTTTATACGATTCAGCAAAAAGAGGAGGTTGCATTAGGCAAGTTTCTTGCAACAGATTCTATGAGTTGTGAGTGCATGTCCCTTCCTGCCCTTCCACTCTCAATTCAGGCAACAGTCTAGAAACTTTAACCTATTATTCAGTCCCAAGGGCTTAGGTAATTGTTCAGGGTTATTTGTCTCCATGGGCCCTTAGCTTAAGAATCCAGGCTTTGTAAGCTGGACCTGGTCAGTTCTATCAGTGTGTGATTGTAAATGGCACTTCTTCATAAAATGAGTTATGCTGACACTTGCCTCATAAGGCTGATGTGAGAACTATATGTGATACTATGTTGCTGTGCTCAGCATGATCCTTGCACAGTAAGATCCAGATCAGTAAGATCTGGATCTATGACTGCCATTCACTTTTCAGAGACTAGACTACAGGTAGAAGTGGCTGGGAATAGGGCTCCTGAGGACTCACACCTGAACTCTCCTGCTGGAGTTTCTACTGTTCTATTTAATTACTGGCAGTTAAGTAGGCAAGTCATGCTCCTCCTGTGTGCCCAGCAATAGGGCTGGCACTAGCAAGCACACAAAGCAGTCAGCTCTTGAAGAACATAGGTAGTGTGGGTCACAGAATGCAGCCTTATCTAAAGAAATAAAAACTAAAGAATTACTTAAGTATTAATATGTGGGGCACAGGCAAGAAGAGCTAGGGAAAGCTCGCTGAAGGCAAGAAAGTATTGGTGTTAGGTGGCCTGAGACTCGTACAATTTTCAGACAGGGAAACGGAGAAAGAAGAGGAGGGTAGAAGGGGAGGGAGAGGGAAAGGCAGGAAGGAGAGGGAGACAGTGGGAAAAAAAGAGAGAAAACTGAGCTGGTCATGTCATGATGTGTGGATAGGATGACTGTGAGACATGAGGTAAAGGATCCTAACTAGGGTTAGAAAGGCAGAGCCAAGAAGCAGTGAGTAGCTGCCTATCTGGGCAGAACATGAGACTGGAGAAATGAGTGTGGCCAGTGAGGGGGAAATGTTCGTCTAGCTGCTCTGGGTGGGTCCTACCAACTTCTGGAGAAACCAGGAGGCTGCTGTATGGTGAGATCTGTGGATGTTGCTTTGGAGGCAGGGACCATGGTGCCAGCCAGACTTCTGACTCTTAAAGAAGGACCAGCTGTTTGCTATTGCAAAACTCAAGTCCTGTATGATAATTATGGGATGGTAAACCAAAGCCCCATGTTCCCTAGGCAAGTGGAGTGGGAAACTGCTTACCATGTGCTTCACGGCAGACACAATCTGGGAGAAGATGAGCTTGCTCTCGGGTTCAGAGAGCTTCCCCTCGGTGCTAATTTTTCCAAAGAGCTCCCCGCCCCCTGCATACTCCATCACCAAGTGGAGCTTGGATAGGGTCTCCACCACTTCGTAGAGGCGGATGACATTGGGATGGTGCAGTTTTTCCATGCTGGAGATTTCCCGGGACAGAAGCCTTTGGGTTTTCTGGTCTAACTTGGTTTTGTCTAAAATCTTGATGGCCACCTTTTCTGTGGAGGGAAAAAGAAAGGTCAAAGAAGTTCCAGAATTATATATATAAATAATTTTATTTTTTGAGACAGGGTCTCCTGTAGCCCTAGCTGGCCTGGAACTTGCCATGTAGACCAGGCTGGACTGAATCTAGATCTGCCTGTCTCTGCCTCCCAAGTGCTGGGATTAAAGGCATGTGCCACTATGCCCATCATTTCCAGATTTTTTTGTTCAAAAATAGGTGTTTGGGACTGGAAGGGTTCCAGGTGGGCTCCTTCATTGTATTAGATTCATAGGTTCAATGGTTCCAAAATGCATAGAATTTGTCAGTGGGAATGAAAAAGCAATTCTCAAGTTCAATATCAGTGTCTATACACAGGTTTGGGTGCCAACTTCTACCTCCCAAGGGGAGTTCTCAGTTGTAATCTTCATCTGGTTTTCCACATAAAGTCAAGGCTCCTTTGTCTAGCCCAGAGAGCACTTCCTGATCAGAACTGGCCTGTCTCTTCAGGGTCAGTGTTGGTGATTCCTGCCCTCTGTCTCCAGCTTCCCCCTTTAGTCTGTTTGGTGTTCCCTGAAACAACAAATCTTCATGCCTAGTACCATTGCTTTATCCAGATACTTTGATTACTCCACTCCTGTTCTTTGTTCCATTCACTGCTGGTAATTCACTGCAAGGCTAGCCTCACAACTGACTTACCCAGGAAGTCTTCTAGGACACCCAGGCACTGGGTGTTCACAGCTCTAGTGTACTGCACTCTCAGCCCAGGAGCCTATAATCATTACCCTCCCTACCCTCCCCACTCTTCCTGCATGGACTAGATTTTATTTGACTTCATCAGTGCCTGACATATAATAAAGTTCCTGACACAGGAGTACTCCATGTCTGTGGAGTGTCGATGAAAGCAGGATGAACCTATGGGTGTGCTGCCAGAGAGAGGATTAAACCTTCTGGATGGGAATAATGTGTTGAAACCTTAAAGATGGTCAATACTTTGACCCAACCACTTCACCTTTAGCAGTTAATCTTAAATACCTGAAACATGTACAGGGGTGCGTGTGCACCTGAGAACAAGTCACCAACCAGAGACAGAAGTGAAGTTCATCTATGTTTATAATGGTATAATCAAAATAATGGCTTATTGACATGAAAAGATGTTAAATAAGTAAGATGTAAGGAAAAACACAAATACTCATCTGCACAGAAAAAAATATGACAGACCAGGAGCGGTGGCACACACTTTTGATCCCAGCACTCAGGAGGCAGAGCAGGCGGAGCTCTGTCAGTTCGAGGCCAGCCTGGTCTACATGGAGAGTTCTGGGTCAGCTGGGGCTATAGGGAGGCCCTGTCTCAAAAAGACAAAGAAAGAAAAAGAAAAGGAAAAATATGGCAAGATATTTCATTAGATGTTTAGAAGAGTCCTCCTCTATTTTTTTATTTTTTGAGAAAAGGTCTCCTGTATCCCAGGATGGCCTTGAACTTACTATCTGATCAATCTTGAACTTTTTCTGATTCTCCTGCCTCCATCTTTCAAATGCCAAGATTACAGGCATGCACTACTACACCTAGTTTATGCAGTGTTGTATATCGAATCCAGGGCTTTGTGCATGATGTGAGCACTTTGCCAACTACAGTACATCCCCAGCCCTAGAAGAGTTGTTTTCTAATTGGGGAATCACAGATAGTTTTCCTCTAGATTTTGTTTTCCTTACTAGTATTTCTACTTTTTCTACAATAAATATAGATCATGTGATAAAATGGTTACCATTAAAAAAAATGAATCTCGACTCCATGATAAAACATCATTTTGTTGTTCTCCAAGCTGGGCCAGACTGTCTACAATGAAAGAAGTTACCTGGCAGGTAACAGAAAAATGGACCACAGAGTAGCCTTTGACCTTCTTGCACCATCACTGTTTCTGAGAACTTTGGCTTAGTGTCAGTGGCATGAAAATAGATGCTACCAGCTCCAAACAGTGTTATTGGCATGCTGAAGGTCAGTTCAGCTGTCTGAAATGGATAGAGGCAGGGTTTCCTGGTGTCTGGTGTGTGCCCTCTGTTGGAAGCAGCACTGAGCAGCAAGGAAGCAAACCACAAAACAGGAGTGCCCCAGTTTGACAGGCTCTGCAGGCTATCAGCCCAGCAAATGGACTTCACCCATTATACAGGCTTTTTTCTTCCTTAGTCACACATTTTATCCTTTCAGGGGTTAGCATTAATTGCCTTTAGCTATTTACCTGAACCAAAGTTTTGTGCGTTCTGTTAGGTAACTTATTGCAAAAGTTAGAATTCCACCCTTCAGTCTCATAGCCCCTGTAGGAGGTTTTCTGTTAGATTCTCCCCCTCCTTGCCTCGAACTTCTGTGATGGTGCTGATCTTCTTTGCTGCCTCACCTCTACAATTGTGAGTGTCCAACAATAGGTGGTGGTGATCTCAAACCCTTTACTACAACCCTGTCCTCCCCTCCACTCATTTTCATGGTTTTAGCAAAGGCTTCCCTTCTAGGCCAGGCCTAGAGCAGGGCAGGACAAGGACTGTGAGAGCAAGTGCTTGAGATAGGGAAATTGACCAAGTAGGCTAGACCAGACCGCTAATGTGCTCCAAGGATCCTCCTGCTCCTCCTCCTACCTCACTATGACTGGTATTACAAATATGTACCACGAGCTCATTTTCCACATGAATTCTGGGGAATCCAAACTCAGGTCCTCGCACTTGCAAGGCAAACGCTTTCCCAACTGAGCCATTTCCCCATTCCTCACATCTACTCTTTTAACACATTCGGGTAGTATATACTATAGACTGAGAAAGGCAAATGAGAAAGGCAGTGAGAAAGACAAATACTGTTCTTACATGTAGACCGGTGAGAAAGACTTTGAAAACAGCCCTTTGATCTGTGTGGTTGATATTGGGAAGGGATATAAATAAAAAATGGAATGGCCTCTTGAGTGAGAACACAAGTTGTGACCAGGAAATAATGGGAGAGGTGCATGTGCTGGCCTAGGCAAGACCTAACATTCATGCTAAGAATGTGAAAGGACCCCGCTATGACGGAGATGTAGAGTGATGAATAGTGACTGCCATATTAGCCAGGTGTGCTAGGTAGGTAACCCATAGCCTTGGAGGCCAGTTGAAGGAATGCTACCTTAGGAAACCCAGAAGTTTTATGGAGAGTGTCATAATCTGCCTCCAACTGTGGAAAGTAGTGATCTGGCTGCAATGTGAAAAGTTCAGGGGAGTAGCCAGCCAGCAAGTAGGGCAGGGGTTATTACAACCAAGGGAGGACTGTCTTAATGGTGAGGATTTCAGCTGTTAAGATGCCCTTTCCCCATGTCTGATAATTTGACTTAATGGGCAACACACTCTTTCAAGCCAGATGTGCAAACTGGAATGTCCCTAGAGGGTAGGAATGGGGGCAAAGCAACAGTGAGACCGTGGGGACTGTGGGGTTCTGAGTTATGCCTGCCCTGAAGCAGAGGGACAGCACTGCATCCCAACTCCAGATGACCATTACAAGACCTCATGTTTTTTAATCTTCTGTTTTTTCTTTTTCACTTTTTTAAAAAAACTCTTTTTGAGATAGGGTCTCCCTGTAGTCCCAGCTGGCCTGGAACTTGCTGTGTAGACCAGGCTGGCCTGGAACTCATAGAGATCCCAGGTGCAGGGATTAAAGGCATACACCACCATGCCTGGCTTGCTTCTTTTTTTTATGCTTTTAAAGGAGACTCTCGTGTGTGTGTGTGTGTGTGTGTGTGTGTGTGTGTGTGTGTATGTGTGTGTGTGTGTGTGGCAGGGGTGGAGAGGCATGCATGGATGTGTGCCTACAGAGACCAAAAGAGGGCATTGGATCCTCTGGAGCTAGAGTTGCAGACAGTTGTGAGCCAACAGACATGGAGTGCTGGGAACCAAACTCCAGTCCTCTACAAGAGCAGCAAGCACTCTTAACCATGGGCCATCTCTCTCCAGTCCCTGATTTCTATTTTTCAAGAGAAGCCAGATATCTGAAATTTTATGTAAAAGCTTCCAAATATTAAGTATTGGCAACGAATGCAAAGTTTTAATCCCAGATTAGACAAAGCAAAATACACCTACAGGATCAAGGGGGGAGGGGTGGGAGCGGATATGAAAACTTAGAATGAGTATTGTGTGGAGAAAGTGACCCTGAGAGGAGCTGAGACAGCCCTTCTAGACACACAGCTGGCCTGAATCAACCTTATCCGAAGAGCAGGGATTTCAGGGTAGACAGCAGGTCCTGCCTCTCTTTGCACTGTTCCCCTGTAAGGGTTCCTTAGAGACCAAGGTCAACAGGAATGCACAGGACCAAGATGACGTATGCTGGGTCAGAAAGTAGGACAGAGGATGAAGGGCAAAGGAGGGATCTGGAGGGTTGGTCCAGTGGGCATGGGGGTAAAGTGCTTGTTCAAGGGGGCTACAAAATGGAAAACCCCTTAATATAGGGGTTGAAGAAGTCTTAGAGCTTAATTAGAGGAAAGTAGAGGTAAGGTGATGAGAGGTTCCAGAAGCAGTGACGTGTAGGAGAAAAGATCTTGAAGCAGAGAAAGTCCTGATACCTTCGGAGAGTTGTGTTCAAGCTATTCTAATTGTTCTTCTTCGTCAATAAAACATTCTTTGGCATGATAATATATGTCCATTTATTTATGAATTATATGTATGTACTACTAATATATACATTTAAATATGTATAGTTACAGAAATTAACTATGGAAAGCACTGACTTTGTGGACTTAAAAGAAGAGAGCAGGCTGCCACTTGGGAATTAAGGAAGACTGAAGCTCGGATGGGTGTGTAGGGTTAGCCAGGGCCATAGTTCACATTTGGAAACTCACATCAATGTTGTAAGCAGGGCTAAACGATCAGGCTTGGATCTTCTGAAAGATCACTTCTGGCTGCAGTGGGAGGAGTCATGTAAAGTGTGACTAAAGAAGACAGATGACAGTATTTTAATCCAGGTAGTAAAGGATGAGATATTTAGGGGATAAAATTGATAAATCTTGGTGTTTAA